ATTCAGATACTGAAACTTCCTCGAAGGGTTCCTCATTGGACTATCGATTATTCGGTTTAGATGAGAAGACCTTGACTTTAATTTCGTAACCAAAGATTGGTTCCCGAATTTGTGAGTCTATATAACGGATCGTTCACATCTTCAATCAACCCAAAAGAAAAGAAAAGAAGGAAACCTACTTCAATTAATAAGTTAGATTTGTTCCAAATAAAGGACTCAATTGTAAGAGAAATTGAAAAGAGAAATGATATTTTTGATGGGTAATCCCAACGAGTGAGCCAAAACTTTGAGAAAAAGTATGCCCACAAGTACAATATCAAATATAAACATACTTGAATCTTTAATATTGGCAGTAATAGCAGCCATAATATATTAATACTATATATTTTGTTCACCAGAATTACTACTAAGTTGTCATAGGAGGCGGTTGGAGAGCTGCTGCTGACGTTGGAGGAGCTAACGATGAGCGTGCCTCCGTGGTGGACTGGCAGGGATCACAGGAAAATGTTTACGCTGTTGATTGAATATTGGAGTTGGCGGTGGTTTCCTATCATCAATCCTCTTGGACACTACCCTGGGCTTGTGTGGAAAGTCATGGGGAGAAAGTTTGGATAAGGAAGACACAGAAACAGGTTCAGTGGCCTTGACTCTGCGGCTGCCATGAAAAAGTAGGAGGGCAGAGATAAAAATGAAAATTATCAGCCTAGAATTGGCCTTCATTGTCGTGCTTTCTAGTACTGCTACGAGGCGTTTATGTGGCTGTAGAATGTGATGATCTTCGGCAGCTTAGGGTTTAAATAAAACCCATTTTCCCATTAAAGCCCGTTGGTTACGAATTTCACTAAGTCAAGGTCGTGTGGGGAAAGCTCACAACTTGCCACTCAGGGCCTTAAGAGAGTTATGTTTTTGTTCTTTCTGATTAAGCCCTAAGGATGTTGATTTATTTACTACTTGTCTTACTTGTCTACCTGCATGACCGCCACAACTAAGTATTAACTTCTTTTTTGGGTACAAACTAAGCATAATTCTTTTTGATGATAACAATGACCGTCATCGATATAACTTTAACGGTAACATTAATGCAACAACAATCAGTATTACAAGCACAAGAAATTTATAGTCACCAAATTTGATGGAGAAAAAATAATCAAGAAAATAAAAAATTGATTCAAAATTATAACTGGTTTGGTTTGAATTTATTTTTTTTTCTTATTTGATTTAAATAAAGTTTGGATATTAAATACATATATTAGATACAGATTAAATTTTGGATTAAGAAGTGAAAAAAAAAATTCAAATCAAACCGAATTATATATATTTTAGTTTTTACATATTTTTTAAAATTTTAAAAAATAAAAAATAATTTTATATCAAAATATGTTTAAATATATTAAATTTTATATTAAAATAATATATAAAAACTAAAAAAATTAAAATTTAAAAATAAAAAAACTGAACAAAACTGGTAAAATTTAGTTTGATTCGCTTCGGATAAAATGAATATTCGATTTAAATTTGGATTGAATTTTAAAATTTTATAATATTAAGTAATATCCAAAAAAATCGAATCAAATTTAATTCGATTCGAACTATTATTACCCTTGTTCTCAACTCCTCCTAGTATACACTAATTACTGACAAAAAAAAGTCAAAATCTAAAGTAATTTTCTTCACATAATTATAATTTAAAAGTTCTGTTATGCTTCAATTAATCAAGTAGTTCATCCTTTTCCTAACTTAAGAACAAGATGAAAAAAAAAAAAACACAAATTCTTTAATTCATAAACCAAACAAATCCATCATGACCTCAGTATATGGTTAATTATATACTGGTATAGATTAACTACAGAGAAGAAATTGACCGTGAAAAAGTAAGGAAAACATTACTAATTGAAGGAAATTCTGATGCTTTTGATTGGAAATAATCTAATTAGAACTGTCTACCTTTCCATTTGATGGAAAGAAAAAGAGATCTTAATATGGTAAGGAGTTTCTAGGATTTTGTTCAGATCTAATTTTTTTTGCGTAATCTTAAAGACACATTTTCTTGAGTCTACTTAATGCATTTAGGATTTTACTTCTGAAGTGCTTCTACAAAAATTAAAATCTTGACTGATAAAGAAAACAATTCTCAAATTACTAATTAGGCTAATTTTCGTTATAATTAAAAGTTTTTTATTTAAAAAAAAGGATAAATGTCATAAATAATTTTTAAATTATAATAAAATATTTAAATATGATATTAAAATTTTAAAAATTTTTAATATGATATTTGAATCATAAATTTATTCATTAATGTAATATTTCAAAAATTAATTATTTATCATGTATCATCTTTAAGATTAATCATATAAAAATTACATTAATTAATAAATTTATAATTTAAATAATACATTAAAAATATTTAAAATTCAAATATTACATTAACTATTTCCCTATAATTTACGTTGACCAAAAAAAAAAAAAGACAAGTGGAAAAGCTTGCCAATGGGGACGCTTGACCCAATTGTGATTCATATGGTAAGAAAGGGGCAGTGGGTTGAAACGTCCTCGATGGGTTGCTCATTGGACTATCGTTACTCCATTTTGATGAGACGACCTTGACTTTGATTTCGTAACCAGGTATTGGTTCACGAATTTGTGAGTCTATATTAAGGATCATGCACATCTTCAATCAATCCCAAAAAAAAAAAATTGTTTATGGGCATTTTTGTATCAAGCAACCTTTCCTTATATTTTAATATATAAATTAATTATGTTATAATTAGTTTTACGTTATAATTATTTCTCGATTTTAATTCAATTATAATATTTCTAAATTTACCTTTTACTTTTACTTTATATTAATTTTTTTTAAAAATATAATAAATAACAAAAGCATCGAACAACTTTGAAGTAAAAGTATCCAAAAAAGGAGCAGCCTACCCAGGACCTAGGCATGGCCCAAATCTAGATTGGGCAATTACATATGTTCGGCTCAATAGAGTGGGCTCAAGGTAACATGATATATATTATTTTGAAAAGCATTTTAAATAAAAATATTAGTAATGCAAAAATATTTGTTAATATTTTAATAACATGATTATTAATTTATTTAAATAAGCACTCAATTGTATCAGAAATAATGTTTTCGAATTTTTTTAGAACTGATAACATAAAAATTTATTTTGAAAAAAAAAATAAATTGATAGGGTTTAATGATATAATTAATAATATGTAAAATTAATTACTAAAAATATCACAATACTTATTTAAGAGTGAAAATTCTATCAAAATTTTAAATAAAATATATATTTTTAAAAATATATTTATTATTATTTTTTTAATTTTGTATACTTGTAAAATTTTTCAAAATTTCAGTTTATCAATTTAAATTTTTATTTTAATTTTTATGTAATCATTTTTAATAAAAAAATCTATTTAAAAATGTCATCTAAATCTTCTCTTAATTATATATACTCTATTAAAATTTGTGATTCATGTTTAAAGGTGATATGCGGTCGAAATGATTTTTAATAAATGGAATTTTTGTGTATATTTGTGAAGCAATAGCTATCTTTTCTTTTTGATTAAGCTTACAAGGAAGGTGATTTATTTCCAACTTGTCCTTCCTTGTCGAACTTCCATGGAGCATAATTCTTGGGTGATTGAGATTTGACACGTTAACCCAAAAAATAAAAATAATATATATATAATTGGCTAATTTGCCTTTTCGACCAGTGTTTGGCTTCAAATTTCAGTTTCGTCCTATCAGGGCTTTTGAAAGGAGTTAAGGAAAAGCATATTTGCATTTCAATCCCAACCCATTTCAAAAAGCCGAAGAAGTAAACTAAAGCATAACCATGAGCCTTTTATTTATGACCCAAATCAAACAATTCTGAAGAAAATGGAGGGGGCTTCATTCTTCTACAGCCAAATGACCCAATCCCAATCCAATGAAGAAAAATCACTCCAAAGCCTTAAAGCATGCTTTAATTTAGCCAAGTGGCATTACTTTCTATTGTCCACAGCATTTTTTTTTCCCACCTTTTTCTTATGTGCGCATGCCGCTGAATTTTTAGTATGCTTAAGCTGCCTTTGGACTTTGGTCTCAGTCAATATGAACATGCATTTATGGGGTCTTCTCTTTTCACAAGTCCCTTGCGGAAAACAAGTTCAACTGGACCAGATTATTGTTGAACCACACTCTCTTGTAGCCACGTGAAATTTGACCATGAAATTTAGTTAATGAATGATCTTAAAAGAATTAAAAAAATTGATATATTGCTCATATGGAAGTTGGGGATGAACTGAAACAAACAAGAATGTTCCCTTTTTTCTTTTTGAACAGAAAAATCTTCATTTCTGATAATGACATTATTAGAGGATTAAAGTGGATGATAATTTGATTTTTTTCCCTTTTTTTTTTTTGTTATAAAACATATGTTTTTCTACCAATTAATTTAGAAATGCCATGGTTACATGTTCAATGTTGCTTCCACTGCTTTCTTTTCAAGCAACTGAAAGTCATTTTTTTTTCTAGTAATGGCTTATCAAAGATTTGTTCTAATTGTTATCTTTTCTTAAAAAGGTTGAAGTTTCATATTTGAATCTTAAAATTTTCATAAATGTTCATTGTCTGTACTGTAGTTTCATGTTGTTGGTTTGTTATAGAGAAAAAAAATGACAGTGATATATAATTAATGTTGTGTCTCAAACATTAGCTGGACAAATCAAATCAATTACTCCACAAAGATATACATCAAATGTGGTCACAGTTTTTAATTACAGGAATCAATAGCTAGGACAATATTGTCAACATCAAGTTTCCATTCTAATGGAGCATTAAAAAGAAGCAAAGAAAATAAATATATTATCCACTAGCCCCAGTTGACATATAAAATTCTATGTTCCACAAAAACTTCAATCCTTCATCCATCATATTCAATATTTATTTGAATAGTAAGCAGAAGAAAAGAAAGAAAAGAAGAAAAAGACAAAGATAGAAAATAATTGCATAATTTATTGATATGATGTTGAATTTTTAATTTCAATTATCAGAATTTAATTCTACACAACCTTTGAATATCGAAAAAATTATCAAAGAGTAGAACTCTCGGATATGCTAAGAAGTTCCTCCAAGTAATCAGCTCCTAGATCCTCCAAGACCACCATATTTTCCATCCTCATAATTTCCTTTTCTTTTTTGACCCTCTTCATCATCCCTCTTTTGATATTTGAGTGCCTTTTTTTCATTGTTAAAACAGGTGAACACCCTTGTTCAAATCTATAGTTCATTTCTAGAAGTGATTCGTAGACTTTGTCCATTGGAAAATTGAGTATAGCCATGGAACCTCGCATTGCCAATGCAGCTTGATCGTAGGCTAAAGCTGCAGCCTCGGCTGTATCAAAGGTTCCAAGCCAAACTCTAACACCATTCCTTGTTGAATCCCTTATTTCAGCTGCATATTTTCCCCACGGCCTTCTCCTCACTCCTCTGTAACAAATCTCCCCGGTAGACTCCTCTTCTTTAGCTTTTGAGCTTACTTCATGATCATCTCTAGAGTTATTAACCGATGTGGTGTCAAAGGAGCTTACCTGGGCTTGGTTTAAGACTCCTAAGAGAAGCATCTCCTGAGAGTCATTTTCATTGAAGGGAAGGGCTTGGTTATGGGGATAATTGAACGAGTCTAATGACAAATTTTCTTGAGAAACATGGGAAGAAGATGATTCAGGAGAGAAATGAGAATATGGGTATTGGAAATATGAAGAATCCATGTACGAAAATGGAGTAAAATTCAGGCTATAGCTTTAATTTGAAATTCTTGATCCTTCTCTTTGAATATGGTATTTGGTGGACATAGGAGAAACATTTCAGAGCATTGGGGGTATATATAGGCAGAAGAGGGGGGAAAAACACTGGTTGGAAGTTCAGAAAACAAAAATTTAATATCCATTGAGATGACAAAGATGGAAAATGGCAAAATTACATGAATACAAGGGGGTTGGTTCAAACAACATTATTTGGTCGTTAATTGGACTCGGAAATGAGGCACCCAATCGTGAGTCAAAGGAGCAGATGGGCCATGGCGGCCAGGTCAGGCCAAAACTTCAATGGCTTACTCGCTTCAGAGTGATTGATTTCATCACTAGCTAAGGGCTCTGCCCACTTGGCACTAGCAGCTAGCAAAGGCATGGTACCACATTAAGTGCCCATAGTCCAGTGTTAAAGTACGGTTTTTTCAATGTTCAATTTAAAATATACTTATTATGATATAAAATATAAAATTAATATAATTAAAAATTTTAATAATTATTATATATAAATTTAATAAAATTAAAAAATAAATCTTATACTTTTGTATCTTATAAATTATAACAAATAATTTTTATATAAAAGTACATTATAAATATATAATTTTAATATTTTATATTATATAAATATACAAATTATTAAATTTACCTTTTACGGCTCTTAATCAGGTTAAATTTGTTGCAGATTTTACTTGCATAGATCAAGTCCTTTGAGGTTTTGCTTTACATCATATTTGACTGGAAAGTGCATGTTTATCCATGGGCATTACAGATTTTACCATTTTAATAATACCCATGATTGAAAAACTGAAACACTTACCTTTCTTCCAAAAAGTAAGTTATTTTATAAGTTATTGTTTTTTTTTTAATATTTTGCACCACTATCTTGCACGAGTGGGGTGATTTCGATATGTCCTACAAAACTATAAAAGGAAGTGGTCCTCACAAGAAAATTTTCTTCGGTCAAATTCATTTCCATTCAACATTTTGCTAGCTTTTGGCTTGATCTGAGGTTATGATCATTTTCGTTTTTCTTTTTAAAAAAAAGCTTGAGGGTTACCTTGATGGAAATTTGCATTTCATGATCTTATCATCTTCTCATAATTTTTTTTGATATAAAAAAATCATAATTTAAAAATAACAAATTATAGATAATAAAATTTAAATTTCAAAATTTATTGAATATTATATTTTAAATATAATTACATAAACTAATTGAATTAAACCCTATGTTCATCACCTCACCAATTTTGATTAAGCTTTGAGAATGCCACACTTCTCTTAATTGCCTCTTCTTATTTTTCTTTTTTGACCAATCTCTAAGCTTCGTAATTACTTTCTTTCTTTCAAGCTTTCAAGCCTTTACATCAAATTAAAGTTGGTAAATATTACTAACCATATAGCAATAAAGAATGTCCATGTTCATCGATCTTCTAGATCAAAACAATACAAAAGGACAAGGAAGAGAATAAATATATATTATATTCGATAGAATATGACCCATCCTTTTAAATCTTTGGTAATGTGCATGAACCTCCAATTTTACATTAAATTTTGAAGAGAGTTTTGAGCTGCTTGTCAAAAATTAATCGACCCTCCAATAATTATCCCTAATTTTCATACAATTGGATTTAATATGAAAACTGACAGATTGTTGCTTGACATACTAGCAAGTTGGCCTTTATTGTGACATGCATTTCCTAGGCGGCGTGGTCAAATATGCCTGTCACGTTTATTTTTCAGTTAACTTGAAGGTAAAAATAATTGCTTTAATTTAATTCTAACTTTTCAATCCAAAAAGTGACCAAAAGTTTGATTGCATGCAATTGGTCTTCTTCAACTTAAAAGATCAATTAATTACGATCTAAATTGAAGTTTTTTTTTTCAAATTTTTTATATTTTATAATTATTTAATCGTTTTAATCACATTATAATTTTTCGACGAAAAAAGTTAAATTACACCTTGTTATCAAAAGCCATTTCTTTAAGCATTTTTATGTTATAATATATACTATTATGCAAAATCTAATCCTCGAGGTAGATGTTTGAAAAAAATGTGCAAAGAAAGTCGAAAATGTGAAGCCGTCTACGGATTAAAACTGGAATTTTAATTAAGTTTTACATATTCAATCAAAATTTTGATAAGTGAGATCTCAAGTTATTATTTACCACACTCTTAATCTTCAAATTAGGTATTTAATGATCAAATGAAGATATATAGTTTTGAAATTCAATAGATTTGAATTCAAATCAGTCAAATCTCAACATCTATAGTTCTTTATTCATATTACGTTTTTTTACCAAAAATATATATAGTTTCAAGATGATCAACTAGGATTTAAACTATGAAAATTTTGTATAATATAGTTACCAAGCAAGGGTAATGATAATTGACATGAAGTAACAAGCAAGTGAGTGAATGCTTAAGGTTATATTTCCAAAAGCTGGTCAAGAAATAAATTTTATAATGTTCAGCCATTAAAGTGGTGGATGTTTTATACAAATAAAATAATAGGAAGATGTGATGGTGCTGTGGCGTTGAGGTGGTCACTTTGGCGATTTCAATCAAGCATCCCAAAAAAAATTTGAAAGTCTTTGGAAGTTGGAAATGTTCACAAAAAATTATTTAGTCCAAAGTTTCCAGGAGGAGAATATTCTTGCAGGATTTAATCAAACATTCTCTTAATTACTTTAACTTAACCATTAGGTCAATTTTTTTTTTTTGCAATAAAAAATATTTTTAATTAGGGGAAGAAGAGTTTGATCCAACTATTCTGATCAATAATATATATACTTATTATTAAATCAAATACTTAAGTGTGTTTATAATGATATATTAAGATAAAATGTTTTAATTTTATTTAATAACTATAGCCAGTTCACAGTCGAAAAGGAAATTTTTCAAAAATTGTTGAAAAGTAAAAATAAATGGTAATAAATAAATTTATGTATGATTAAAAATACATAAATAATTAAAATTTAACCTACATTCAAATTAAGCTAATTGTTTTGTATAACAAGGATCATGCATCTTTTTTTTAACAATTGTTTTGGATAACATGTAATTTTTAATTATTTTAAAAAATATTTGTTTATGCATCTATTCAAATATTGTTTTTTTTTAATAAAATGAAAGTATTTAGAGGAACAATCAAAGCACCAAAGCATTTAATTTAATTGGTTAACATATATATTTTTTTACTCAAAAAGTTGAATTCAAACCCTTCTGATCTAATATCGAAAAGAATAACAATTATATAAAAATCTTATTTATTTTATTTATCGAAACGAATAATAATTTTATCGAAATTGTAATAATCATTTTTTTATAATTACATTTCGTTGATATTTTATTAATAATTATCGACAAAAAAATTTCGTTGATAAAATTTAATTGATAATGCTTTTTATTCTGATAGTGAGAGTAACAATCAAACAAAATTTTGTTATAAGATCAGTAAAAAAATTTTGTGAACATGATGTTAAAGTGGAATCATGAATGTGTTGATGATGGGCACTTATGTGAGTACCCCATTCATGGTGTATGCTTAGGCTGTCTTCGTTGACTGAATTTCCAGTCATCTTGGGCTTTTCAGGCCAAGTGCTTTAAGGTCAAGAACGAACTACATCGTCTACATGCATGTTCTATATTTATGGATCAGAATAACTGAAGACTGTTTCAACTGACCAATTCTGCTTAGCCTATAGCCCTTGCATGAAATTTTTATCAGCAACTACTGGGTTTTTTTTTTTTTTTTCCCTTTGTGTTGAAAGCTGAAACAAAGAAAATCAAAATAGAACAAACAAGGTTTGAACTTATAATATAGATTCAAAGTCGAAGGGAAAAAATTATGTAGTAAACAGCCTCCAGCAATTCCTGACAGACTTAAATGCTGTAGAATTTAAATGATCTGAAAATCTTTGTTAAAACATCAGAATTAATTTTCAATTGGAAGGAACATGTTCAATAATCATCCAGTCAACTGAAGAAATTAGAACATATAGAATCTACAGAGCATCGGTTGTTTTTAATAGGTTGGAGGGCAAAATGAAAAATGCAGTTGAATTTAGGCTTTATTCAGTTAATTTATACAATTATTTTTAATAAATTGATAAACTTAAAATTAAAATTTTAATATTTGTAATTTTTTTTTCATACGTGAATTATGACTTCTTTCGTATAACTTTTATTGTTAAAATCCTTAAATCACAACCCTGTTTTTAATCAAATTGTTGCCCAAGACTGCTGTCCTAATCTTTGACTGAAAAGAATTCTTGGCATAATTTTTCTACATTCAAGAATATTCAACACTTATTTTTATTATTACTATTTTTCCTGCTTTCTTTTGGTGAACAAACGAAAATATAAAAAACCCACCGAAGATTTTCCTTAATTATAATATTGTCATATTCTTACAGGACAAAAGCTTTCCCAAAATAAATGTAACGTCATAGACAACCATATGTCCTTAATTAAAATTTGAATCCTTCCAACAAAAGACAAATCTAGGAAATAATCATAGAATAGATGTTACCCACTTCATACTGCGCTGCCCCTTTCTTGTCTTCATACTCTACTTCATATAGGGCTTCGTCAAATTCAAAATAGTTGTCAAATTAATTTAAAGTCCTTTCATTGAAAATAAAATGAAATAACTCAACTTGCCTATAGTACTGTTTTGGTGTATAATTTTGAGCTTTAAGTAATTATCTAAGCATTGCAATTCATTAAGTTCTTGAATATTTATTTTTATTAATTGAATCCTAAAATATTTATTTTTATCAAATTAAACATTTAAATATTTATTTTCCTTCAATTAAACGCTTGATTGAATAAAAATAAGTATTGATGGTTAATCAATATTTATTTAATAAGTACTTAACTAATAAAAATAAATATTTGAGAATTTAATTGATTATAATAAAACAATAAAAAATTGAATGGTTATTTTATTTTAATTCCCTTTTTTATATTTATGCCAATTTTAACTTTTATTCTAAAATCTTTGCATTGTTATTTTTGGTATGCATGCATAAAATTGGGTCCTAGCCCATTAAATTTTGTTTCATTTAAAATAAAATGAAATAACTCTGATATCGATGAGATGAAATGTAGGCCAAAATCTTATAACTTGAAATGAACCTTTTTTTTTAATTAAAAAGTGAAATACAAATAGATGCATGATTTTTTATTTTAAAATGTCCTTTTTAGTAGAAAGGAAAACAAAATTACTAGTAATATATAATTAATTAATGTGGTATTGTAGATGGTAAATCTTTCTAAATTCAAAAAACTAGAAAATTAAGTTCATCAAATGTATAGAAGAAAGAAAATTTGTAGAAAATGATTATAGTGTATTTAGACAATATATTGAAAATTCAACTAGTGTTTAATGTTGACTAAAATTATGCATAGCACAAAATTTTGATTCTACATCATCTGAAAGATTTACAAATTCAAAGACAATATCCAGCAAAAATTGGTCCTTCACTATCTTAATTCTCAACTGAGAAGAGAGAAGAAACAAAAAGAGAAGAGAAAATTGCAAAATTTTCACCAATAGGGAGTTGGACTCTCAGATATACTTAGAAGCTCCTCCAAATAATCAGCTCCTAAATCCTCTAACACCAGGATATTTTCCATCCCCATTTCCTTCTGGTTCTTGATCTTCTTGTTCTCTGATCGTCTGCTCTTCATGGAAAACCTTTTCTTCATTGTCAAAACAGGTGAACAACCTTCTTCAAACCCATAGTTCATTTCGTGAAGTGATTCATAAACTTTATCCACTGGAAAATTGAGTATAGCCATTGGACCTCGCAATGCCAATGCAGCTTGATCATAAGCTAAAGCTGCAGCCTCAGCTGTATCAAACGTTCCAAGCCAAACTCTAACACCATTCCTTGTGGAATCCCTGATCTCAGCTGCATATTTTCCCCATGGCCTCTTCCTGACTCCTCTATATGAAACCTTCTTTTCTGTCTCCTCTTCATTGGCCTTGGAGTTCACTTCATGTTCATCTATAAAACTATTGGCAGACGTGGTATCAAAGGAGTTTACCGGAGCTTGGTTTAGGGCCCCCCAAAGAAGTTTTTCTTTGGAGTCATTTTCATTGAAAAGAAGGGCTTGGTTATGGAGAAAATTGAATGATTCCGGTGACAAGTTTTCTTGAGAAACATAGGAAGAAGAGGATTCAGGAGAGAATTGGAGATTTGGGTATCGAAAGAATGAAGAATCCATGTATGAAAATCAAGTATAATTCTAGATATGGATCGATCCTGTTATTCTCTTTGAACAAGCTCTTTGGTCATAGGAAATGAAATTTGAAGGTTATGGCTATATATACTAATTACAAGCTAGGGAGGGAAAGGCTACATTATTCAAATATTTTTCTAGAAACTTAAGAAAGGACGGAAAGAGGGTAAAATTACATGAACAAAGAGTCAAACAACATTATTTGGTCGTTAATGGAACCCACAATGGATGTTGATGCATGAAAGCCAAAGGGCACAATTGTGGGGCATGGCGGCCAGGTTAGATTAAATTTTAATCAGACTTCAGCTTGATGATTTCACTTGTCTGTCTTGCCTAAGCCATATTAGTTTAGTTTCAAAATTGTGTAAATCACAATGCTTAGAGTGATTTTTTTTTTTCTTTTGGTAAAATAAGTTTTTTTTTTTTTTTTAAATTAATAGATAAAAAAGGAGGATACAACAACAACAACAAAGAGAAATAGCAAGCGATTAGGCTAAATAACCACTTATAATGCAAACTAAATAGTCTATTTTTATAAAAATATTATTATGTGTGACATGATTTAAATAAAAAAGATATATGTTTAACATGAATAATGTTTCACAGAATAAAAAAAGATATATTTTACCTTATGATTGAAATTTGGAAACATGTTTTGTAACTTTTTCTACAAAAGGAAGATAATAAAAAAAAAAATATTATCTTTTGGTTTTACCAATATATTGCACGAGTGGGTGTGCCTTGGATTTTAGGCAAGAACTGATCCTAGCAAGGAAATTTTTGTCCAGTCAATGCAATTTCTGCATATTCCTTTTATAACCTATTATTTATTTATTCATTTAGTATTAATTAATGACAGAAAAATATAAATAACAAGAGTAGGGTCATGAATGATTCAGTGCTTTCAATTTATTTAATATGAAATCATTATTGTATACAAAAAAGTATTTTTGACCCACATGTTTCCAGGTCTGAGAATTTTGCAACACTGAGTCTAGTTTGATCGTTGATGGCTTAATTGGTGTAAATCTACTGTTTGCTGCATTTGGTCTTGGAAAAGTATGGTAGAGCAATAATATCCGATGTCGACTCATGTGATAAAGAGAATTTATTTATTTATTTTTTGGTTAATTTGAGTTCTAATTCATAAATAAATTATAAAAATATAATTTTTTAATAAATTTATTTGAATCAATTAAAAAAATTGAACGAAATTTAAGAACCCTTACAACAAAAAAAAAAAATGGCAGAGCATTCAAATACTTCAAAAGGTTTCCAAGTTTCAATTTTGAACCCATCAATTAGCAGATAAGCAAGCAATTAATTAATGAATATTCTACTTATACAGTTTCTGTTTTATAAAAAAGCTGGTCAAGAAATGAATAATATAATAGGGCTTTTAAAGTTGGGTGTGAATAAAAAACCAAAAAAAAAAATGTGATTCTGATGTTCCCTTAGAGGTTGATCAAATCTTGCATTTTGGAGAATTCATTTAAAACTTTCATAAGTGTTGTGAAAGTCTTTCAAAGTTCAAACTTCAAAAAAGAAAAAAAAAAGTCAAAAGTTTTATGTGAGAGTTCTTAAATCTTCACATTTAATCAAATGTTGGGGGTATATATTAAATTTGATAATTTAAAATATGATAAGATAATATGATATAAAAAAATAAAAAAATAACACAATTTAAAATTTTAATAAAAATTATATATAAATGAAATAAACAAAAAATATATTTTTTATTTTCTTATTGACATGAATTATAATATATAATTTTCATATAAAATATAATATAAATATATAAATTATCAATATTTTATATAATACAAATATATAAATTACCAAATCTTATCTATATTGCAAATTTAGTGTATAATTTTAAAGGTTAAAGTTTAAAAAAGCCTTTAAATAAAAATTAAATAATTTTTGAGCATTACAATCTATTGAGTTCTCGAATACTAATTTTATTGAATTAAATTTTTAAATATTTATTTTTATCAAATTAAACCCTTAAACATGTACTTTTTTCTAATTAAACTCTCAATTAAAAGAAAATAAGTACTAACGATTAATCAATTTTTATTTAACAAAGACTCAATTTTTTGAAAATAAATATTTAAAAATTTAATTTATTCTAATAAAATGATAAGAGTTTAGATAATTATTTAATTTTAATTCCTTGGCTTTTCTATATTTATGCCAAATTTGAACTTTTATTTTAAAATCTTTGCATTGTTATTTATGGTATGCATAAAATTGGGTTCTAACTCATTAAAATTGTGTATATTCTTAAAGGACTCAGGACTTCTTGTTGGAGTTTTGTTTTGAACCTATCAATAAAGGCCCACTAATATGCCTTTAACTCTGAATAGCCCATGTGAGTGCAATGGCCTCTCATTCATCAACAAAATATTTAAGGCAAGCTTCTCTTCCTTGGCCTAATCTACTCAAACAAAGCCCAAACCAAAAACCCATGCAATTCAGCTTTCAGATCAGATAAGGCAGCCGACAAAGCTCACTTCCATTTGCTTGCTTTGTCCCTCCTCCTGCAAACCTCATTTTTCTTCACCATGCTCTCATCAACCTCTCTCAAACCCATTTCCAATCCCAAAAATCCTTTCTTTTCTTTATTCTTAATCCAAAACACATCTCTTTTTTCCTTCCACCTTCCTTTCCCCCCTTCTAAAACCCTCCTAAAACCCATCTCAGCTACTCTTATCCCTCCCAACGCCCAACCTCAGCAGCAGCAACTTTACCAGCCTTTTAGGCCACCCCCATCCCCACTCCCTGCCCAATTCCGTTCACTTGACCCTCAAGCTCGTTTAGAAGTCTTAGCCAACCGCCTTGGCCTTTGGTTTGAATATGCCACACTTATCCCTTGTCTTTACCAGGAAGGTTTTTCTCCTCCTTCCATAGAAGAAACCACTGGGATTTCTGGGATTGAACAGAATAGACTTATAGTGGCTTCCCAGGTAAGAGAATCACTTATTCAATCCAAAACTGATGAAAATGTTTTATCTTTTTTTGACACTGGTGGTGCTGAATTGCTTTATGAGATAAGGCCTTTAAGTGCTACACAAAGAGCTGAAGCTGCTCGTTATATAGTTGAAAATAGATTGGATGCTAAGGGCGCACAAGATTTGGCTAGAGCTATGAAGGATTTCCCAAGAAGGAAAACGGATAAAGGTTGGAAAAGTTTTGAGCATAAGCTCCCAGGGGATTGTTTATCATTTATGTATTATAGGCAAAGCAGGGAACATAGGAATCCTTCTGAACAAAGAACTGCTGCTTTAAGGCAAGCATTGGAAGTGGCTGAGTCTGAGAGTGCTAAAAAAGAGGTGTTGGAAGAGTTGGAAGGTGGGGAGGGTGAAAAAGAAGAGAAAGGAGATGATTTGGACTATGGGGTTCGGGTTCCAATTGTTAGGATGAAGTTTGGTGAAGTTGCTGAGGCTACTAGTGTGGTGGTTTTTCCGGTTTGTAAGGCGGAGGAGAATGACAGAGAGATTTTGGCAGCACCTTTGGAATGTAGAAGTGGAGGGGATTTTGGTGTAGTGGAGGCTGAGAAAGGGTGGAAGAGGTGGGTTGTTTTGCCAGGTTGGGAGCCGGTTGTGAGGTTAAGGAATGGCGGAGTTGTAGTTGCATTTGGTGATGCAAGAGTTTTACCATGGAAGGCAAATAGGTGGTATAAGGAAGAGGATATTTTGGTGGTTATGGATAGGAATAGGAAGGAGGTGGAATTGGATAATGGGTTTTACTTGGTGACAGTTGATGGTGGTGGGTTGAAGGTGGATAGAGGATCAGCATTGAAGGAAAGGGGTGTGAAGGAGAGTCTAGGAACCGTGGTGTTGGTGGTTAGGCCACCAAAAGAAGAAACTGATGATCAATTGAGTGATGAAGATTGGGAGTGAAAAGAATTGAAAGTGAGTTATGGTGTTTTAATCTTGATTGCAAATGGAGATTACTGCAGGCCATCTTTAATTTTAATAATGGTGCTTGAAATCAGAGTCATATGGACTTCAATTCAATGCCCCGTAGCTAGATTTCTGTATTCTATTCTGTTGCCAAATGAAGGCTTCGATTTGAGCTAATCAACTTAAGTGTAATGCTCTGCTCCATTGTTAGCAGGAGGCAGTTCACTTTTTGTTTTATATGCATGTACTACATGAAACGATTCAACTACAGATGTCATCCTTTCTGTTAGCAGCATCTGATATGCATTCTAAAGTTTTTAATGTGTCATAAAGGTGCCTGAGAAAGAAGAATGAACCCCATAAAGAAACTCTTGGCCCTTAAAATTTGCCAAACGACAGCCACATAGACTGCAAGTTATGTTAATGTTCTAAACTGATTGTAAAATTTCTCAGGGTTAATTTCTTCTTTAGGTCATGAATCAAACCAGGTCTGATCAGGCCCTCGGCTTGGGCTAACCTTCAATTGATTGCTGGATTAGTCAACAGAAGATGATAACTGGTTATCACTGGAATCTAATTTCCTAATTGTAACTCTCTATCAGGGTAATCTGGTCACCAGTAGTCTTAACAAAGTCAATCCCAGCCTCTATAGAATCCACTATCAGTCATTGAAGCGAAAAGAGAAGGACTACCGCTGACCTCATTAGGTGCAAAAGGAAACAAAACTTTTTACGAATCCGTTACTGCCATACTAGTGTGACATATCATCTGTAAAGGCCATACCAGAAACAAAAAGGAATAACAACCTCCTTAAAAACTGACAGAATTTCATAGCTATAAATGAGACTGAAAGCAAACCAGGGCTTTTCAACCGGTGAAAGTAGCTATACATTGGCAAAAAGTTCAGTTTTCTGTCATCAATGGCAACTGGTGAGTTCTTGTAATTGCTATTTTCTTTTTCAAAATCCAGCATCTTCTTTTACCAATTTCCTTCAAATGTCAGTGAGCATGTATCTCTTGCAGACTCTCAATTACACATAAAATATTTTAGTATTTGAAAGAACACTCTTAGATACTTTTTTTTTTAATAAAAAAATCTTATTGGCTTTAGAATCTGTAATTTTGAACATCATGATTGATATTTGAATAAAAACTCATCATTATGGACTGATTAGATGGAAAACTTATAACAATTCTCAGCATTGATGGTGGGGGAGTGAGAGGGATTATCCCTGGGACCATTCTCGCCTTCCTTGAAACGTAGCTTCAGATTGGTTGCTCACTCCTTTTATGCCCCTATGCTAAGTATACGGTTTATATAGAATGGAGTGTGACTTAGAAATTCAGTTGACTTTTGTAGAAAATTTTTTCTTGAACAGAAGCTGGATGGTGAGGATGCAAGGATTGCAGATTACTTTCATTTCATTGCTGGTACCAGCACCGGAGGTCTTGTTACAGCTATGCTTACCGCTCCAAATGAAAACAATCGACCTATATTTGCTGCAAAAGATATCAACAGATTTTATCTTCAAGAGAGTCCACATATCTTTCCTCAAGAATCAGAACAGCCTCAATAATTCGTTGCAATGTAGGTTCCCATATTTCTTTCAAATTTGAGGATGGTATGTGGGAAATTGTTCATTTGATATGTCTCCACTCTTTCAGGTATAGCTTGAATTGGTACACCACTATAACAAAATGGGTTAAGTTAGTTTGGAACAAATATTCGGAGCCAGTGTATCATTCTGTAGAGGCCTTTATCAGATGGATCGAAATAGCAGCATTGGGTCCCAAATGTGATGGCTTCTATTTGCACAAAAAGATCAAAGAAATGCTTGGAGATAGAAGGCTTAGTGAGACTCTATCCAATGTGATAATTCCCTCTTTCGATATCAAGCTTCTCCAACCAATAGTTTTCTCCACCTTAAAGGTCATTTATTCTGATTTTGCTGAACAGTGGAATTGTCAGAATCCAAGGTGGATTGATTCAGTTGTTGTAATTAGCATAATTTTCTTTTCTAATCAATTATTGCAGGCGAGACATGACGATTCAGAGGATGCTCCGCTAGCAGATGTTTGTATCAGCACTTCTGCAGGACCATATTTCCTCCTTCCATATTATTTTGAAATCAACTCATCAAAAGGCACCAAGAAATTCAACCTGGTTGATGGTGGTGTTGCGGCCAACAATCCTGTAAATTTAATTTTCAGAAACAATGTTTTGATTGCATTTTCCCATCAAACAGAATACTGTAATGAGATTTTTTTACACTCTTAACTGCTTTTGATAAGTTTATCAGACTTTGCTAGCAATATCGGAGGTGATCTTTAAATAGGAAAGTTCCATGCTTGAACAACATGGATTTCAGTAAACTTCTTGTTCTCTCCCTTGGAACTGGATCATCAAAGAGGGATGAAAAGCTTGAGGTTGGGGATGGAAAAAGCTGGGGACTCTTCCACTGGTTCATGGGGCCTAACGGTACCAACCCCTTATTTGATGTTGTCCAGACTGCAATGGATGATATGGTTGACATATATTTATCTATTTTCTTTCAAGGCTCTAGTATCAAGGACAATTATCTACGAATTCATGTATATTCCATCCTGAACATTGATTTTTCTATTGTTCAATTTTGCTTCTGAAGACAACCACCCTTTTAAAAGGCTCTTTCCTGATCTAACTATGAAACCAGATTGATTGCTTGAAATACACTCAGGCAGCCACTGACAACTCAAACAAAGAAAACCTTAAAAATCTTGAGAAGATTACAAATGAGCTTCTGAAAAGGCCTGTTGCTGCTGTGAACTTGGAAACTGGTTTATATGAAACAATTGACCTGGCAGACATATGAAGAAGCAATCATCAAGTAAGACTAACACTATATGAAATATTGTCTCCACATTTATCACTTCGTACCATTAAAGCGTTGTCTCCACATTGATCACTTCATATCATTAAAGCCTGTTCTGATTTTAATTAAAATGCTCTCAACTGGTATTGAGCAGGTTTGCCAAACGATTGTCCGATGAAAGGAGGTGCCGCCACACTAACTGCTCGAGCTAGTAGCTAGTTATGCAAGGTCCATTCCCATTGTGCGGTTACTCTCCAGTAGTTCAAGTGATACAAGTTACAGGTCGATGTCAAGAAAAATATGGCTGGATTTGGAAGGTAGCTACGTTTAAGAAGACTGGTCTATTTTACTCATGTAGAAACTATAAATTAGTTACAAAATGTACCAGAAATGAAAAAGGAACAATTCCTCTCCCAACCAAAAAGCATAATCAATTTGATAAAAACATGAAACAAGTGATTTTTCCTTCAGAAGTCCCTCAAAAAGTTCTGCTGAAATGCATGTGCATTATCCATGTGTTTAACAATATGGGTAGGGTTCATAAATCCCTCACAAAACAGGACTGCACTCCAACTGATAATAACAAACAGATAAAAGACAATTAGCCATGGACTCTTAGGTAAGTAGTCCAAAAAAAAAGTTATAATGTCAACTTGACAATAAATGCGTGTAATTTTATTATTCCATTAACTATAAAATCATTCCAGAGCAGTAATTTGTTAAGGAAAAAAAAAAAAAACACTTGGATATAAAAATACGTAGTATAGTCAACCGAATTGTTGTTGTTAAATTAACTTGACTTAACATCCAATTGGTTGACCATCTTCCAATGACTCTGTACAGCGTGAGAAATTAGCAACAGAATTGTTTCTAACTGGAGCAAACACCTTGTCATAATCAACGCATTGGTTTTACTTGTACAGCACACACTTGGAAAATGGCTCGAGAATTCAAGATGAGAGCCTAAAAGATAATTATTGTCCATTAATCTCTATTCTCCTATCGAATATTTATGATTTTAGTTTCATTTGAGCACCATTAAAATAGTTCATAGGATTAAGACAGTTCAAATGGTTTGAGAATTCCAGATGAAAGCTTTACAACACAAATGGCTAAAAAATTCAAGATGAAAGCTCTATAAGGATAACCATTGTCCATTAATCTCTATTCTCTTCGTAACATTTATGATTTTAATTTCCTTCGAACACCAATAAGACAGTTCACACCATTAAGACAGTTAAAATGGCTTGAGAATTCAAGATGAAAGCTCTATAAGGATAACCATTGTTCATTAATCTCTATTCTCCTACTTAACATTTATGATTTTAATTTCATTCGAACTCAAATGGCTCGAGAATTCAAGATGACAGCTCTATAAGGATAACCATTGCCCATTAATCTCTATTCTCCTACTTAACATTTATGATTTTAATTTCCTTCGAATGTCATTAAGACAATTCAAATGGCTAAAAAATTCAAGATGAAAGCTCTATAAGGGTAACCATTGTCCATTAATCTCTATTCTCTTAGGTAACATTTATGATTTTAATTTCCTTCGAACACCATTAAGACAGTTCACACCATTAAGACAATTAAAATGACTCGAGAATTCAAGATAAAAGCTCTGTAAGGATAACCATTGTTTATTAATCTTTATTCTCCTACTTAACATTTATGATTTTAATTTCATTCGAACTCAAATGACTCAAGAATTCAAGATGACAGCTCTATAAGGATAACCATTGCCCATTAATCTCTATTCTCCTACCTAACATTTATGATTTTAATTTCCTTCGAATGTCATTAAGACAATTCAAATGGCTCAAAATTCAAGATGAAAGCTCTATAATGATAATCATATTTATTCTCTTACGTAACATTTATGATCTTAATTTCCTTCGAACACCATTAAGACAATTCACACCATTAAGAAAGTTAAAATGGCTCGAGAATTCAAGATGAAAGCTTTATAAGGATAACCATTGTCCATTAATCTCTATTCTTTTATCTAACATTTATGATTTTAATTTTATTCGAACTCAAATGGCTCAAAAATTCAAGATGACAGCTCTATAAGGATAACCATTGCCCATCAATCTTTATTCTCCTACCTAACATTTATGATTTTAATTTCCTTCAAACATCATTAAAACAATTCAAATGGCTTAAAAATTTAAGATGAAAGCTTTATAAGGATAACTATTGTCTATTAATCTCTATTCTCATTTGTAATATTTATGATTTTAATTTCCTTTGAACACCATTAAGATAGTTAAAATGGCTCAAGAATTCAAGATAAAAGCTTTATAAGGATAAACATTGTCCATTAATCTCTATTCTCCTACCTAACATTTATTATTTTAATTTCATTCAAACTCAAATGACTCAAGAATTCAAGATGATAACTCTATAAAGATAACTATTGCCCATTAATCTTTATTCTTCTACCTAACATTTATGATTTTAATTTTCTTCAAACATCATTAATGCTAGGCCAAATGGCTTCCAATCAATCAAGCTAGCAGAAGCAAAATCAAACAATCAATCAATCACATAAGAGACAATAATTTAACGTGATTCGATCTAACCGACTTACGTCTACGGATGAAAAATAAGATCCATTAGTTGTAGAGAATTATAAGTATACAGATCATATTAACCTTACTTAACAATTAATACCTATAGACTTTTTCAATTTTTTTTAGTTCTATAGAGTATTTTCAGCTTAAACAAATATATACCCATGTTCACTATTTTAACATAAACAAATACATACCCATATGCACTTATACATCATACCTATATGGACTATCTCAGTCTCCTCTAATTCATTCAAAACATTCATATTCATACACGCACATAAGACGTAAATCTCCAGTAGCCTTATGAGGTGTCTATTCCATAAAACTTTACAACTCTCTTATATCTTTTTCTCATATCTAACCTTGTAGAGATTTAATCTATTTATAAGCATACAAACTTGCCTATTAAGAATCCATTTTCTCTTAGAATTTTTTTTTGCGAGTCTTCTTGTCATTAAGCAATATTTAACCAATTCTAAATAAATCTGTTATGAAATTTGAGTCACTCTTTTCAACAATCTTCACTTTAACTCAAATTTCATCAAATCATTTATTTTCATGCTAGACATACTTGACTTCACCTACAATGAAAGTATCACAATTATCTTCTCTTGTGTGTCTTCATGCTTCACGTAAATCAATCGTCAATCCTCAAAACATGAACTCAAACTTTTCTCTTAAATCGAGCTCTTTCGAGCATCCCTCTTTTCATGCCTCGAATCATGCTCTGATACACTTGTTAGGCCAAATAGCTTCCAATCAATCAAGGCAATGAAAGCAAAATCAAACAATCAATCAATCACATAAGAGATAATAATTTAATGTGGTTCGATCCAACCAACTTGTGTCCATGAATGAGAAAAAAGATCTACTAGTTGTAGAGAATTACAAACATACAAATCATATTAACCTTACCCAACAATTAATACCTATAGACCCTTTCAATTTCTTATAGTCATATGGAGTATTCTCAACTCAAACAAACACATAATCATGTGCACTCTTTTAATATAAACAAATACATACCCATATACACTCATGCATCATACTTATATGGATCATCTCAGTCTCCTCTAGTCTATTTATAAACATTTATATCCATATACACCCATAAGATATAAATCTCTAGTAGTCTTATGAAATGTTTATCCTATAAAACTTTATAACTCTCTTATATATTTTTTTTTCATACCTAACCCTGTAGAGACTTAATCTATTTATAAGTATACAAACTTGTTTATTAAGAATCTTTTTTTTCTTATAATTTTTTTTATAAGTCTTTTTATCTATCAAGTAATATCTAACCAATTTCAAATCAATCTGTTATGAGATTTGAGTCACTATTTTCAACAATTAAGACAATTCAAATGGCTAAAAAATTCAAGATAAAAGCTTTATAAGGATAACCATTGTCCATTAATCTTTATTCATTTACATAACATTTATGATTTTAATTTCTTTCAAATACCATTAAGACAGTTCACACCATTAAGACAGTTAAAATGGATTGAAAATTTAATATGAAAGCTCTATAAGGATAACTATTGTCCATTAATCTCTATTCTCCAACCTAACATTTATGATTTTAATTTCTTTCGAACACCATTAAGATAGTTCACACCATTAAGATAGTTTTAAGGCTTAAGAATTCAAGAAAAAAACGCTATAAAGATAACTATTGTCCATTAATCCCTATTCTCTTATGTAATATTTATGATTTTAATTTCATTAAAACATCATTAAGATAGTTCAAATAGCTTGAGAAATCAAGATTAGAGCCCTTTAAGGAGAACCATTGTCCATTAATCTTTATTCTTGCACCTAACATTTATGATTTTAATTTTGTTTGAACACCATTAAAATAGTTAAAATGGCTTAAGAATTCAATATAAAAGCCCTATAAAGATAACTATTGTCCATTAATATCTATTCTTACTTAATATTTATGATTTTAATTTCATTCAAATAACATTAAGATAGTTCACACCAGTAAGATAGTTCAAATGGCTTGAGAATTCAAGATGAAAGCTTTATAAGGATAACCACTGTAAATTAATCTCTATTCTCCTAACTAATATTTATGATTTTAATTTCTTTCGAACAACATTAAGACAATTCAAATGGTTTGAGAATTAAAAATGAAAGTTTTATAAGTATAACCATTATCCATTAATCTCTGTTCTCCTACCTAACATTTATTTAATTTCCTTTAAACACCATTAAGACAGTTCACACCATTAAGACAATTCAAATAGCTCAAAATTCGAGATGAAAGCTCTATAAAGATAACCATTGTCCATTAATCTCTATTCTCTTACCTAACATTTATGATTTTAATTTTATTCGAGCACTATTACGATAGCTCAAATGGCTTGAGAATTCAAAATGAAAGTTTTATAAAGTTAACCGTTGTCCATTAATCTCTATTCTCCTACCTAACATTTATGATTTTAATTTTCTTCGAACATCATTAAGACAGTTCACACCATTAAGACAATTCAAGTGGCTTGAGAATTCGAGATGAAAACCCTGAAAGGATAACTATTGTCCATTAATCTCTATTCTTCTACCTAACATTTATTATTTTAATTTCATTAGAACACCATTAAAATGATTTAAATGGCTCGAGAATTCAAGACTAGACCCTTATAAGGATAACCATTGTCCATTAATATCTATTTTCATACCTAATATTTATGATTTTAATTTCATTCGAACACTATTAAGATAGTTCACACCATTAAGATAGTTCGAATGGCTCAATAATTCAAGATGAAAGCTTTATAAATGTGACACCCTAATTCTACATTGCGATGTTATGAGGATCTGTTATGATATATACATTGAGACTTATGTCCATACTTGTGAGGTGTTTTTTGTGAAAACTCGCACACAATTTGTGATGTATTGTCTATTATTCTTTAAAAGGTTCTTCACAAGTTTGTGCTTAAGTCTCAACTTATTTATCATAGCAAATCTTCAGAACATCTTGATGTAGGATTAAGGTGTCACAAACTCCTTTATTAAAATTTAACATCCTTGTTAAGCTCAACATAAAAAATACAAAAAAGTACAAAACTGCACACACAGAGCCACAAAGCTAAGATCATACTAGACTTTAAGATTCTAGAGTTGGGTCCCATCATGTAGCATTTGGCTCTTTTGGAATTCTAAATGTGGCTCATACGGTATAGCACTTAACCCTCGTCTGATTGATGACCATTCTAATACTATTTGTAGAGATTCGCACTTAACCTGTGATGTATTATTTGCTTTGACTCGAAGGTTTCATAGTTTTATCATACTAAAAGCGTTTCACAAATTTTGGGTTTAAATCTCTATTTATATATCATAATAGATCTTTAGAATCTTTTGATGTATAATTGGAGTGTCACAATAAGAATAACCATTGTCCATTAATCTCTATTCTCTTGCCTAGCATTTATGATTTTAGTTTTATTGAAACTTCATTAAGACAGTTCACACCATTAAAATAGTTCAAATGGCCTGAAAATTCAATATGAGAGCCCTATAAAGATAAACATTGTCTATTAATCTCTATTCTCCTACCTAACATTTATGATTTTAATTTCATTTGAATACTATTTAGATAGTTCATATATAGACATGCTGTATGGGTGGATTCGAGACAATTTAGGATCATGTCCTAAATTGTTGATGTCTTAAGTGGTTAATTGTGATTCTTTCATATGTTGAGTAGAGAGATAATAATGTTTAGATTATATTTTTTATGTTTTTTTTTTTTTTACTTTAGATGTCAAGATTTGATTACAAGATTAATCTATTATTTTATGAGCAAACTACATTGTTGTGGACAATAATTTTTTTGTTTAAAATTGAATGTCCACTTTTCAAATGGCACAAAGTTTTAGAAATGAAATAGTATTTTTTTTATTTTATAAATGGGTGTTCTAAATACACCTAAAAAATTTCTCTATATACCTATAAAATTTTCTTCCAAAAATGCCAACAAACTAAATATCAATTTTAATTTTTAATAAATGACAAAAATACTTTTAATAACTTATACACTCAAATATCATATTGTATTTCTCGAAAATGTATTTTCGAATGTTATATTGTGTTCTTGAAAATTCATTTTCTAGAAAGCAACATAAATATATGAAATGGATTATTGAGAACAAAACGCACCTTTTAAAAATTCATTTTCAAGAATTATATTGCTTTCTCAAAAATGGATTTCTAAAAGTCATGTATTTTTAGAAATTCGATTTCGAGAATATATAAAATTTTTTAAATATATATTTAATTATAAACTCTTGATAACGAAAAATTGAGATATCTAATTTTTAGGCCACCGAAAAATATCATTAACATACTAGTAAATTTGACAATAAAAATTGGTGGCCGAAAGATTAAATACTGTTAGATTTATCAATTCGCTGATGACATTGTCAGCGACAATGTTCTATAAGGTGTTCAAGCCCAGACTAGCTTGTATGCGCACACATGAATCATCGATGTGCCCATTCCTACTTAATCATATGTGCAAATGGAATAGATTAAGTTCTCAAGTATGCATGGTAAGTTCTCAAGCATGCATAGTATAAAAATGTATTTGTCTTGATCTTAGAAAACCAAGAACTTCATTTTACTCATGTGAAATAAAAAAAAAAAAAGAAAAGATTTAGGCCATGCATGTTAAATAGATCAATTTTAGTTATATTCGCACACATAATCAAGTAAATGGGTTCATAAGTATATGATTAAGGGTTTTAATTAAAAGTGAAATCGAGTTTCTTGGATATAGAGATTTGAAAAGCCTTATATCTTCTTGAATATCTATTTTCGAGTGGATATTTAAGAATACTCAAGGCTTTTTAGAAATGAATATCCGAAAAAATTCAAGGTTTCTCAAAAATGAATATCCGATAAGTGTTGAGACCTTTCGAAAATGGATATCAAAGAATTCTTAAAGTTTTTTGGATGTTCATTTCGGAAAAACTCGATTTCAAAAAATAAAGAGAGAAGAAAAGAGGAATGATAGGAATGAAAAATAAAAAGTGAGGGATGAGTTGAATTTAATAGAAATAAAAAATTTAGTTTTGAATTTAAAATGTATATAAAAGTGACGTGTATATAGTATTAAATGAGATGTAAATAGAATTCTCCTTTTATAAAATTTGTTGTTAAAGTGACATAATTAAAGTTAGAGGATCTCATCTAATAGTTATTGTTTTAATGAAAGACAATATAAAAAGTGGATATAACTATATTAAATCATTCTAAAATAGTTTATATAATAGGATGGATATTCAATTTAACACCTGAATTTAAAGAAACACACTTCTAGAACGAAAAGATACTTTTTGACATAGGGGTAGTTTAGAGATTTTCCAGAGATATATACAGTTTGCATGAACATGTAGTCTCAATGAAATTTAATTTTATAAATTATTATTATTATTTAGATTCAATTTCTATGCTATTTATTTTTTATATAAAATTTTCTGTAAGAAAAACATTTCACTATGCAAACATAGTATACTAGCTTGTGCTTGGAGTTAAAACGGTGCAGCTTAGGTTGAAATCCCTGAAGTTTAGGTTGAATCCCTGAATATGATTTATAATATAATCTCTCTTTTTTATTAATGCAAACAAGGGTGTAGTTTAGGGATTAAAAAAGTATTATAAATATTAAAATTTAAATTTCAGATTTACTTGTCTCAAAATAGTTGGATGAAACAATTTAGTTAAAATTTGAATTTATATATATTTTCTTTTTGAATTTAAAAAAAAAAAAAAACAAAATCACTATTACCATTTTAAAACTACAAAAGCACACATGGGATGCACGTGATGTATAGCTATAAATAATGGTGTGTCCAGCCCAGGTTTTCCAAGTTTCAAGTCGCGAAAGCAGCTATAGATAGGCTAAAAAAGTTATTTTTTCTTACAAGTTTCAAGTCACTAATTTTCTTTCATTAATGGCAACTGGTTAGTTGCTGTGATTTCTACAATTTTTTTTTTTAATAAAATTTCAGCATCTCACACATACCAATTTGATCACTTATTGCGTTTTAGATTCCCTCGTATTGATATTTGAGAAAATGTTGTCATGGATTGATCAGATGGAAAGCTTGTTACAATTCTCAGCATTGATGGAGGAGGAGTGAGAGGCATTATTCCTGCAACAATCCTCGCCTTCCTTGAAATTCAACTCCAGGTTGGCTAGCTGCTGATCACTCTATCTATCAAGCAGTTGTACTACAAATGTATATTTATAAACCATTTTTCCGTATATATTTGACTATTTGTACAACAATTTTTTAATGCAATATATATTTTTTCTTGAACAGAAGTTGGATGGTGAGAAGGCAAGGATTGCAGATTACTTTGATTTCATTGCCGGGACTAGCACTGGAGGCCTTGTTACAGCCATGCTCACCTCCCCAAATGATGAAAATCAACCGATGTTTACTGCAAAGGAGATCATTAAATTTTATCATGAACACTGTCCACATATCTTTCCTTTTGAAGAAACAAAAAAAAAAAAAAAACCAACGTAGGTTGCTCATTCAAAGTTAATTTTTAACATGTTTCCTCCATATTTGAGAATGGCAAAAGCTTGGGGAAATAATGTTTTGTATTATATATATATATACATATATATATTTATATATATATATATAAATATATCTCTACTTCTTGAGGTATAGGTTTGAAGCCGCTGAAACAATGCCGCTGAAGGCAATCTGTTTCAGAAAATATGGAATGGAATCTTCAGCATTATCAACAAATCTTTCAAATGGTTCCATACATATGCAATGGTTCCCAAATATAATGGTGAAAAATTGCAGGAAATCATCAGAAATTTGCTTGAACAGACAAGCCTTCGTCAGACTCTAACCAATGTGATAATTCCCTCTTACGATATCAAGCTTCTCCAACCCATAGTTTTCTCCACCTTAAAGGTTAATCTTCGGTTCTGCAATCCTTTTGCTCAATATATAGGGTAGAACTGTTAGGATCCAACGGGAAATTGATTCAGTTTTTGTTACCTATAATAGTTTATTTTCAAATGAATTATTTCAGGCGAGACGTAATGATTTAGAGGATGCTCAACTAGCAGATATTTGTATCAGCACTTCTGCGGCACCATATTACCTCCCTCCTCATAAATTTGAGGTCAAGTCGAGAACATTCAACATGGTCGATGGTGGTGTTGCAGCGAACAATCCGGAAAAGTATTGTATTTTCAAAAACGTTGTTGTAATTAATCACCTTCGTTACATATGTTATGTAACATAGGTAATCGCTTTTTTCTCATCAAACATTTATAGTACGTCTTGATAATTCTTACTTAATCAACTGCCTTGGACAAATTTATCAGACACTGCTAGCAATATCAGAGGTTGCCAAGGAGAAGAATTTAGAAGGAAAAGCTGAATGCTCGAACAACATGGATCGCAGCAAACTTCTTGTTCTTTCTCTTGGAACTGGATCATCAAAAAGACATAACGAGCTTAAGGTTGGGAGTAAATCCTGCGGACTCATTCACTGGGTTGTGGGGCCTAATGGTAGCACCCCTATCTCTGATGTTCTCCTGACTGCAATGGATGATATGGTTGACATATATTTATCTGCTTTCTTTCAAGGCCCTAGTTTCAAGGACAATTATCTACGAATTCAGGTATTCCTTTCTGGACATTGATTTTTTTCCACTCTTCAGCCTTTCAAATTTTTAGTATATTTATGCCAGAAACTTGTTTAAATGGTGAGAATTAAACGGACTCCAGTTCAGTTCCTTGTATAATCGTCCATCTCCAGTTCTTGACAAATGTTATAGGAACTTTTGCTAAATGAAATTTCCCATAGTTACATTTTCTGGTAACCATACAGACTGTCAAAACGCTTACTACTGGTTGGTATTGAACCAGACTGATAGCTTGAAAAGTAGTGAAATCACCTTGGACAATTCTAACAAAGAAAACCTTGAAAATCTCGAGAAGATTGGGAATGCGCTTCTGAAAGCGCCTGTTTCTAAAGTGAGCTTGGCAACTGGATTACTTGAACCAGTTCGAGGGGAAGACCACACAAATGAAGCAGCACTCATCGAGTAAGACTACAAAGATTATACGAAATCTTGTCTCTGTATTTAGCAGATGGTACCATCACAATCTATCCTGGTTTTGATCAAAATGTTCTTGGTTGGTGTTGAACAGGTTTGCCAAACGATTGACAGCCGAAAGGAAGTGTCGCCAAGCTAAATGCTCCAACTAGTGCCAGTGAGGCACACTTTCCCTAGATCAAATTTCCTTGAAGAATGACCATAATAAATTCTCCTCCTTGTATATACAAGGAGGGATGTTGTTTCGTAGTTCTTAAGGTCCACTTTCAGTCTTGCATTGTTGTTCAAATCCATTCCCTTCTGTTTGTCTGTGTTGTTGTAATATGGTCAAGGAGGAGTTATGCCTGAACTTGGGAGGTAGTCATGGTTAAGCATGAGAGTCGTCTATGTTCTGTTATTATAATTAATTGTGATGCAATCTTTGAAACCTTCACGCCTGCTGCAGCCTGTATCAACTGTATGACAAGCTTTGAAGCCTTAGCATAAACTTGGTGGGGTTCATGATATTCAATGCAATCTTTTGCATTACCTCGCTAACTTGCATGTGTCTCTGAGGCATCTCTTGTCGTCTTAAATCTCAAGCGCTTTTTTGGTGCAGCAGTTCGGATGTTCGACGCAAAACTAATCAGCTATTTAGTCGGAAAAAAAATTTTCCAATTAAATTTGAAGTGAATTCTGCTGCAAAATCCCAAAATTACCATCTAAAATTCTTGGTATCCAAAAAGCAAAACCCATTTCATTTTCCACGTCATAGTAGCAAATGAAATTGAAACAACTAGAATTCAAAATCAAATGAAAACATAAATTTACCAACCCACAAAAAGAAAATAAAAAACAAGAATTATACACTTGGATAAATACATATGGAGAGATTTTTGGTTTATGGGCTTTGGGTCATGATCTACAAATTCAGCTCTACTCTCCCTTTACCACAATAGCCCATTTTTGTGTTGATTCGTTTCTAAATTGATGTGGCCTATTAAACTTACATATATTTGATTATTAATAAATCTCAATGTCTTTTTTCGATAAAAAGTTATTTAGTATTTTTATAATATCTATTTAATATTTATTAAGTAATTTCATTAACTATTATTTATAGATATCGGATAAAAATATTGTTAAATAATTATTAACTAAAATTATTATTATTTTTTAAGGAAGTTAAATTATTATTAAAAAATCTGTTAATGGGTTTTCATGGACACTGTTTAAGCTAGTGAAAATTGCTATTTTAGAAAAGATTTTTATATTTAATGCATTATTTTTACCAAATTAAAAAATGAATTAATTATAAATTCATTTCCTTAAATGTCATCATGGTTAACATTTCCTTCTAAAAAAATATTTTTGCATTTTTTTTTTTTGAAAATTGAAGACTTTTTATTTATAAAGGAGCATACACAGCTAGAGCCATGCTACAAGGTCCATTCTTCTGTGGACTCCAAGTTTGGCAAGGAAGCATAAAGATTGTGCAGTGTTGATGATGTTGATAGACTTCCATGGGCTATTAGAAACTGTGTTCAGCCAAGAGGTGACAACTAATGAGTCGCTTTCGTATTTTCCGGGCAAGAGTCATTGTTTGCCTCAACAACAATAGATAAAGCTTCAAGAACAGCCAATAGCTCCACAAAGTTTGAGTCTTGGATCCCAATGTGTTTAGAAAAAGCAGGATTACCTTGGCATTGTGATCACGAAGAACACCTCCAATTCCTGCTAGACCTGGTTTGCCAACTTCCGAACCATCGACGTTCAACTTCCAAGTTCCTTCTGGTGGATGGGTCCAGGCAATGTTTTTCCTAGGTGGTTTCGGATTCGCCAAACAGATAAGTCTTGGATATTAGTGACCACGTCCGGGATAGAGATGACTGCCTCTGGGATTTTTGCTTTTAGCCACCATCCTAGCCTGAAACAAATCAGATTATAGAGATCATCTGTAGAGAGAGTTTCATGGTTGAAGATTTTTTCATTACGAGCAAGCCACACAGACCAAATAATAGGGTAGAAAAGGGTATCCCATACGTGCTTGTCACCGATCAGCGAGTTAAAACAGTTCCAGGACAGAAAGAGGAGTGGAAGTGAACCTGGAATAGTCCAGAGAATGTTCCATTGCCCGCAACATTTGTTCCAAATTTTCCAGGAGAAGTGACAGTGAATAAAAAGGTGGATGACAGTTTCGGCTTCCTTACAGAATGGACATGTATTCTCTCCATTTCTTAAGCAATTTCTTCTTTGAAGCACATCTCTGACGGGGATACTGCCCTTGAGAACTTTTCGATAGGTGTTTCGTAAGAGTGATTTTCTCCAATTCTTGCCTGAGTGATTTGGGTCTGAATTTGCCATGTGAATCATGCCAAATAGATCCGTCTGATGCCGTGGAAGACAAAGAGACAGTTTAAGATTTTGAGGAGGTCTGCCCACTGGTTTTTTTCCCAGTCGAAGAGAATGCGCCAATATTTTTGCATTTAATGCACTATTTCAATAAATTCAAAAGAGAAAAATGCATTAATTAAATATTTCTTAATTTCCTTAAATATTACATTAAACCCTATCACTGACTAACATTTTCCTTTATTAAGTATATTCTTGGATGAAACATGCAACTCAACTCACCTTACGATCAGTTTCTATGTTGTAAAATTTTTTATCCAAGAAAATATATTCGAAACTTACTCTTTGAATAAAGAATTATTATGCATTAATTATTATATCAATTGCTCGGATATTATTTTATACAATTTAAATAAATATAAACTATTTTCATAAAAACATTCTAACAATTAAAACTTAAAAATTCATTTTGAAAGTCTCATTGTATAATCCAATATCATTAGTTTCAAATATATACAAATTATGAGTACTTGTAACATTCCAACTCGACTACTTGGTTAATTATCCTATTAGTAAGAGAAGAGAAACTAAAGCTTTAGAATTTAGCATCCTAAAAAAATTCCTATTTTCCTTTCTCTAATGCCAACTATTAAATCTAGTTAGTACAATATATTGAGGCTTAATTCTACTTTCTCTTCTCAAAAGTAACTTTTAATCGCATTCTATATAAATCTGAAATACAAAGATGAAACCCTTATATTAAACTTTGATTATTAATATTGTAAGAAATATCCATTTACATTAGTGTAAACGTTATTTATTTATTTTTTATACCTTTGGATTAATATTGAGAGTTTTACCTGTCAACAACTCTAATTATTTTAGTAATTAATAAGCACATTAATTACAGTAATAGTTCCTAGTGAAAGTCCAACTACTTAACGTGAAAGTGGCTTGACTACTCAAGCCTCTTAAATTAACAAGTGGCTTGACTTATCATGTAAAAACCATACTTTATAAATCAAAATCCACTCGTTTCGTAAAAATTACAACATCATACTTTGACATTCTCTACAAGGAACTTGATAAAAAAAAAGTTATCAATTAGTTAAAATTTCGTATTTAACTGCACTAACATGTTTAAGAGACCGACACATATTTTATTTTTAATTATTTTTTTATATTTTAACTTTAGGGCATTCCAACTGTTAAATTTGGACGTATCATCTCAAAAATTCCATTTTTGAATTTTTGAAATGAACAAGGTGAAGTTTATTAAAATAAAAAATATATATATTTCTTATGGTGTAACCCAAAATTTCCAAATACAATAACAAACGGAAATGAATTTGCGGGAAAGAAAGAACGGAGATCCGGTGGTAGGGAAGAAAGAATGATAATGTATTGAGTGCTTAAGAGTAACCTTTGAATGGGCTGGTAAAAAGGCTGGTCATGCAAAGAGGTTGGCATTGGCAACTTCTTTATTTGCTAAAGTATATACATTTCTTTTCAATCTTGTTAAACATTTTAATTAACACTTCTTCAATTTTTTTTTTTTTTTTAATGACAAAAAGTTTTATATGATTAATTTAAAAAAAAAAAAAAAACTTTATATGATCCTGGTTTTGATCAAAATGTTCTTGGTTGGTGTTGAACAGGTTTGCCGAACGATTGTCAGCCGAAAGGAAGCGTCGCCAGGCTAGAAGCTCCAACAGGTACCTGTGCGGCACATGATCCATTGATCAACACTTTCCCTAGTTCAAATTTCCTTGAAGAATGACCATAATAAATTCTCCTCCTTGTACGTATACAAGATGGGATGGTGTTTCGTAGTTTTTAACGTCCACTTTCAGTCTTTCATCGTTGTTCAAATCCATTCCCTTCTGTTTGTCTGTGTTGTTGTAATAAGGTCACGGAGCTAGACCTGAACATGGGAGGTAGTCACGGTCAAGCATAAGAGTCGTCTATGTTCTGTTGTTATAATTAATTTTGATGCAATCTTTGAAGCCTTCACACTTTCCTGCAACTTGGATCAACTGTATGGCAAGCTTTTAAGCCTTAGCATAAACTTGGTGGGGTTCTTGGTATTCAATGGAATCTTATGTATTACCTCGCTAACTTGCATGTATCTCCGAGGCATCTGTTCTCTTAAATCCCAAGCCCTTTTTTGGTGCAGCAGCTGGGAAGTTCAATGCACAACTAATAAGCTATTTACTTAAAAAAAAAAAATACCGACTCAATTTTAAGTGAATATTTCTGCTGCAAAATCCCAAAATTACTATCTAAAAGCACATTTTAACATCCAAAAAGCAAAACTCAATTCAATTTCCACTTCATAGTAGTAAATAAAATTAAAATAACTAGAATTCAAAAACAAATGAAAACATAAATTTACCAACCCACTATATATATTGTTTATGGGTTTTATGTTATAATCAATAAATTGGGCTATTCTGTCCCTTCACAGCAACAGCCCATTTTGTTTTAGGCTTTAGGTATTGATTCATTAATAATATTGATCTGGCCCATTAAACTTCTATATATTTGCTACTCAAATATCAATACTTAAAAAAAAAAAACAATTTAGTATGTTAATAATAGCTATTTAGTGTTTATTAAGGGATCCCATTAATGGCTATTTATAAATATGGGTTAAGAATAGTTAATTTTTTTTTTTTTTAAGGAAGTTAAATTATTATTAAAAAAAATCGATTAATGTGTTTTTATAAACAATGTTTAAGGTAGTGAAAAATGTTATTTTAGAAAAGATTTTTATATTTAATGCATTATTTTCACCATGTTCAATAAAAAACCAACACATTAATTATAAATTTATTTCCTTAAATATCATCATGGTTAACATTTCCTTCTGAAAAAATACTTTTGCATTTACTACAATATTTCAATAAATTCAAGAGAGAACAATGCATTAATTAAATATTTCTTTCCTTAAATATCACATTAATCTGTATCACTAGATTAACTAACATTTTCCTTTGTTAAGTATTCTTGAATGAAACTTGCAACTCTATATTTTGTAAAGTTATTTATTCGAGAAAATATATTCGAAACTTACTCTTTGAATAAGGAATTATTATGCATCAATTATTAAATCAATTGTTTAATAATATTTAAATAAATACAAATTATTTCCATAAAAACATTCTAACTTTTAAAACCCAAAACTTCATAAAGTCTGATTATATGATCCAATATCATTAGTCTCAAATTTATACAAATTATGAGTACTTGTAACATTCTAACTTGATTACTTAGTTAATTATCCTATTAGTGAGATCATTGTTCTTGAAATAGATTAGAATTTAGCGTCCTAAAAAAGTTGGTATTTTCATTTTTCTCATGCCACATATTAAAACTAGTTAGTAAAATATATTGAGGCTTCTACTTTCTCTTCTCAAGTATAGTTTTTAATAGTATTCTATATAAACCTTCACACATAATAAATTTTACCAAATCAAGTAATTAGGTGTGTCCCTAATTTTGTACGATCTCAAACACAAAGATGGAACCCTTATGTTTAACTTTGATTATAAATATTGGAAGAAGGATCTATTTACACTTTATATATATATATATTTACTTTTAGGTAACATTTGATATTTTTTACAAGATCGCCAAGATAATGTAATTATTGGGATGATTTTATTATCAAAGTGATCTTAACACTTATGATTTGAAATCATTTTATTTGGTTAAAATCATTAATTCATAGGAATTAATGATCATTGTGTTTGGTATTACTAAAAATCAAACATTATTTTGTTTAAAATTACAAAAATAACTATTTTTATTATAATAGTTATACAAATTAATAATTTTAAGGCTATTTAAAGATAATAATTTGTAAAATATTAATAATATTTATTTATTATTATAATAAAATATTATTAAATTATTAAATTAATAAATATATTTATTGATAGAAAATTTATTTTTATATAAAATATATAAAAAAATTTTGAATTAGAAAATAAAGCCAGTCCATTAAATTCATAATAAAAGAAAAAAAAAATTTTTATATTCATTGATAGGTAAATTGATTTTTATAATATAAATTATGTTAAAAAAATATTTGAATTAGAAAATAAAATCAATCTATTAAATTCATAATAAAAGAAAAAAATTATATTATACATAAAAGATTAAAAAAAGTAAAAAAAATTCACAAATTTTTTTGCACTTATTACAATGAATATTAGTCTGAAAATATAAAAATTTATAATATAAAATAATTAAATTTTAAGACGTAGCGAGTTTTTAACTTTCATATTAAATGAATAAAATTAACTTTTGTTAATTTTACATATCACTTTACGGTAGTGCTAAAAAATTTTCACCATTTTGTTTGAAAATTATATTTTTTTCAAGACAATAATCTGATCACTTTTGGTGATCCAAGGTCATTAAATAAGATAATTTAATTACTTGTAGATAGATTATAATGATTTTTGGAGTGATCAACCCATACCAAACATTATCTTAAATTAATATTGAGAGTTTTTCCTGTCAACAACTCTAATTTTTTAGTAATTAATTAGTAAATTAATTACAGTAATAGTTCCCAGTGAAAGTTCAACTACTCAAGCCTATTAAACTGATTAGTTGCTTTTTTTAAAAAAAAAATTAAAGACTTTTTATTAATAAATGAGCATACATGGCTAAAGCCTTGCTACAAAATCCGATCTTCTATGGACTCCAAGTTTAGCAAGGGAGTCAGCAAAATAATAAGCTTCTCTAAATATCATGCACAAAGTGAAATTATCTTACACAGCATAAAGACTATGCAGTTGTTAGTTTGATTTGCTTACTCCATGTGCTTTTATTATAACTGTGTTTACAAATAATAAGTTAACTAATGAGTCACTTCGATCAATAATTCCCAGAGGGGTCATCGTTTGCCTAATAGGATTGGATGGAAGACATTTATATACCGAAACAGATGCATTAGATAAAGTTTTTGAATCCAATGATTTATTTACTAAAACCATGCGATAATAGATAAAATTGAATCTAGTCACAATCAAATTTTCAAAATCTAGTTTGAACACACAACAGTTAGATTTCTTGATACAATCACAGTTCATTCTCTAGAAACACTATCCATGATTTCACGACCCTTCACAAAAGCCGATTGAGAAGAGTGGATTAATGATCCCATCACCTGTTTCAACCTGTTTGATAATATCTTGGCTAAAATCTTGGAGATGCAACCCATTAAAGAAATGGGTCGAAAGTCGTTAAGCAACTCTGCACATTGCTTTTTGAAACAAGTGCGATGAATGAGCTGTTAACTCCTTTCGGGATCTTTGTTGTCCTGTGAAAATCCTGCAAAAACTCTATTATCTCCGATTTCAGCGACGTCTATTTTTTTTTTAATGAAGTTGAAGTTGAAACTGATTAGTTCCTTAACTTGTCATTTAAACACCATATTTTATAAATCAAAATCCACCCATTTCGTAAAAATTACAACATCATACTTTAACATTCTCTGCAAGGAACTTGATGCAATAAAAAAAAATAGTAATCAAGTAATTAAAATTTCGTTTTTAATTCCACAAACATATTTAAGAGATTGGCACATGTTTATTTTTTAATTATTTTTTATTTTTTAACTCTAAGACATTTCAACCGTTAAATTTAAAAATATTGTGTACATCTCATTTTGTCCGGATTTAAAATTTAATTTATTTTATTGTTAATTTATTTTTTTGTAAAAAAATTAAAAAATGACAAAACTTGATTGAAGAAAAATCGTTCGGTTGGATAAAATTTTTTTTAAAAAATAAAACTCAATCCTAATCCTAGATAGACTCCTAAAAGAGTTTAATCTTAATTGAAATACTGTTTAAACTTAAATTCTTATCTATGAATTAGTTTCAATATACATAGAAACGAAGGAGGGAGTAACAAAAAAGAGAGACAAAAAAGATAATAGTGAGGATATTCTGGAGAAAGTTGTCAACAATACCTAACATCTGTTTCGTGACACAGCCGAGGCCATATTCCTCCTATGGTCCCGAAACTACCATTGATCCTACGGAAAAATTGACTTGCTAGAAGAGTGGAGGTAGTAGAAAGAAGACTGAAGCTCAAAATCTGTCAGCAACTGAAGAGAACCTATTGTAAAGAAATTAAATGTGGCGCTGCCGGTCTGGGAAGAAGAGGTTGGTTTGTGACAAAGGCATAAGAAGCAGATAAGAAAGGATCCAAACTTGAAGATTTGGATCCAGTCCAAAAATCAAACATTAGTTTGGCCCAAGGAAATTCAAGGGCCACAAACCTAAACTAAAAAACTTCCAAGCCCCAAACCTGTTGCTGGAGTTGGGTTTCTAACCCAAATTTCAGGTTCCTTTTTTTACTTGTTTACCTTTCATTTTGTTTCATTTTATTTATTTATTTATTTATTTACTTAGTTTTGAAATATTTTGCATGATTAAACTTTTTTTTAGGAAAAATTATTAGGGAAAGTTATTCTAAATTATAAAAAAATTAAAAAAGGTTAAAATAAAATTTTATTAAAATTTAAAAATAAATAATAATTATCTAATGATGAAATTCTTAAAAATTATAAATGATTAATTTCTTTGAAATATTTAGGTAAGAAACTTTTCTAAATTGATTCCAATTGAGAAAAATTTTAGATAAATTTTCAGTAATAATAATTAATATTTATTTTTAATTTTTTTTAAAAATA